ATTAAAACCTTGGCCACGCAAATATTTTGGCCGCAGACCTTGGACATTCCTACAGGAATCAGCACCATCGCGAACTCAGCACGCGCCACCCAAGAATGGTTCCTCGCGCAGAATGACCACCAAAATCTCTGGATACCAATCTTTGGGACTATAGTGTCTGGGGAATTTTGGAAAGCAAGGTTGGCACTAAAAAATACCGAAGTGTTGATCACCTCAAGCAAGCGCTTCGTAGCGTAGCAAAATTCGGGCAGCGTGTGACGGTTTCATTGGCCGTTTGAAGGTCATAATTCGTGCCAAAGGTGACCAATTCAAACAAATCTAAATTTATTCTAAAATTTGATGCTATTTCCGACTATTTTTGCTTTCATTCAATAAAATTTTACAAATATATAAAAATTATGGCGTTTGACTTTGTTGTAGTTTTTTATCTCACCTTGTATATTGCATAATTTTCAATAATTCCGCCTTGAAGCGGGGCATAGCCTAAGGACTGTATTTCTGTAGTTTCACGAAGCTGTGCCATGGGCAAAGGTGCAAGCATGGCACAATTACAGAAGGTATAACAAAGCAACCCCCAAAATACCATATTTTGTGTATGAATGTGTATTGTTTTGAATAAAAAATATTATAATTTGAAATTATTTCAAATTTGGTTGCAAAATAAATGCAAATTTCCGACGCAAATAGATAAAGAATTGTACAATTTTGTGATAAAACTGTATTGTCCTACTATTTTAGATTTCATCTTGTGGAATAACACCGAAATTTAATTCTTGTTTCGAGGGGTTTTCCCAATATAAAAATCAAAAGAAACAAAAATCAAAATAAACAAAGCCAACTCTTGCGCATTTTAAAGTCTATTTGTCACTATAAGACTCCAACACAGAGTTGCATTTCTCTATTTTCTTTGAAGTTGAGCAACCTTTTTTATTGAGCCATGGGTGCAAGTACATAAACAGCTTGAAGTCTTCCCATGGCATATTTGGTGACATATCATAAAGGGATGTCAGAGCCGCCGACGTTTCCCTTTATAATTTGACATTAATATGCCTAGCCATGATGCCAAGCTGCTTATGTACCCTAACCTTAAAGGTGTCCAAACTAAAAAAGTAGGCTAACATATAATTTATTTATTAACCACAATAAATCTGACTATAGAAATCAATTATAACTTTGAACACGGATAAAGGTTTTGTATGTAAATGTGCTAAATGCGTAGCTTTATGGGTCCAGCTTGCTAATATCCCAACTTGTTTCAACATTTTAGTCGTTTTGTACGCGTGTTTATTTTCAGAAATGATGAATAACTTTTCTCACTCAGCCATGGGAAATCTAAACTTCATTTGACTAATGCAGTTTGAAATTCTAATTTGAAAAAACCGCAATTTATTCATTAATTTATTTCTATATTGTTGTAATTATTGTAACAGATATTGGTTATATAAGCTCTATGAGCGATCGTAGTTAACCATATTTCCATTTTGGAAAACTCAGGGTAAAGATAATCCCAGTTGCCATGAGGATATTTATAATAGTCATAATTACGACATTTATCTTCCTAACATCAGCTACATTGGATGTAGACTTCAAAAATGGTAAAAGGATAAAAATGTCAGAGAAACCAACGCAAATTCACCAGTCATCATATCCCAGGCATGGGAAATCAATTATGCCCACAATGGGAGCCAGGGAAGTTGTGAATCCACATAGTACTCCACATAATACTCATTATCGACATCACACATTTGTTAAGCCCACACACGGACCATATCGGCATTTTGGAACATTAATGTCAACGGATCCATTAAAATCGTATGAACATTATGCAAGCAAGACTCATATACATCATAACTTTGTTGGACCCACACAAGGACCATATCGGTATTTTGGAACATTAATACCAACGGATCCACTAAAATCGTATAAACATTATGCAAAAAAGACTCATCGTGTATCCGTTGAACAATACAATCCCGAGGAACCGTTCGAACTATCTGAGCCAATTGATCATAAGAGACCCTATAATCGTTTTGAATACACAACTAAACCATATAGCTCTGTCAAGAGTAACCACAAAGACAGAGTTCAAAATAGTCTTAGTGAGCCAATTAAGAGATAATAAATAAAATATATAATAATTATGAGTGAAATTTGTCTATTATGTAGCAATAAATATACATAAAAAATTTCAAAACGTTGCAATTCCATGCATTAAGCTGGAAATACATAAAGAGCATATTTGTCTGGCTTAAGTCATCGGCTGGCTTCTTCGTAGATGAACAAAGGAGCCTAGGGCCAAAATCGAACTAAGTCAACCTTAACCTCCTTTGTTCATCTACGAAGAAGCCAGCCGATGACTTAAGCCAGCCAAATAAGCGCTTTATGTATTCCCAGCTTAAGATTTGTACCAGAAAGTACAAGAATTTATGATACATTTACAAAGGAAATCAGATTTCCGGTTAATATGGTGAAAAGACTGACTTAAAATAAAGCATGATTCGAGGACTACACAACAACTAAAGATGTCGGTACATTTACTGCTGTAATTTCTAAAGCTGGGAATACATAAAGCGTTTATTTGGCTGGCTTACGTCATCGGCTGGCTTCTTCGGAAATGAACAAAGGAGCCTAGGGCCAAAATCTAACTAGGTCAACCTAAAGCTCCTTTGTTCATTTACGAAGAAGCCAGCCGATGACTTAAGCCAGCCAAATATGCGCTTTATGTATTTCCAGCCTAAAGGGCTAAGTACATAAGAAGCTTGAAGTCATGGCTAGGCATATTTTGTGACATTTCACAAAGGGATTACAGAGCCGCACTAAAATCCAGCCGTCGTTTTCCATTATAATTTGACATTAATATGCCTAGCCATGACTTCAAGCTTCTTATGTACTTAGCCCTTAAGGCTGGAAATACATAAAGAGCATATTTGGCTGGCTTAAGTCATCGGCTGGCTTCTTCGTAGATGAACAAAGGAGTTTTAGGTTGACCTAGTTCGATTTTGGCCCTAGGCTCCTTTGCTCATTTCCGAAGAAGCCACCCGATGACTTAAGCCAGCCAAATATGCTCTTTATGTATTCCCAGCTTAAGCCATTCGTCCGACAGCTGTTAAAATTATTCAAGCGACAGCTCATTATATTTTTTACAAGCGTACAAAAGCATTTTGTAGACAATTTTGCAGAAAAAAGTTATTCGTGATGGAATTCAAGCGTGATAGTGTGATTTCTTTATATTTGGTTGGAAACCCACAGAAAGAAAACAGACTCAAAAGAGCTAAAGAGTCGCTTCGCTTGGCCGAAAGTGGTGAACTGCCGAATTTGCTTTTCTGCGATAAGAAAACATTCGTTGTCCAGCCGTTTGTAAACAAACAAAGTGATGGTGCACCTTCGGTTTGCCACCAGAACTCAAGCGCCGGCCATTGTGATGGTGTGGGCCGTCATAACAGCCGCTCGTAGTAATCGACCGTGTAAGAATAAATGCCGATTATTATCGCGAAAATATTCTGGAGGGTGTATTAAAGCCTTGGACACGCAAACATTTTGGCCGCCGACCTTGGATATTCCAACAGGACTCAGCACGCGCCACCCAAGAATGGTTACAAAATGAGGTTCCTCGCTTCATTTCCAGCGCACAATGGTCACCAAAATCGCCGTGTCTGGAGTATTTTGAAAAGCAAGGTTGCCACTAAAAATATCAAAGTGTCGATCACCTCAAGCAAGCGCTTGGTCGAGAATGGGCCGTTTGAAGGTCATAATTCGTCCAAAGGTGACCAATTCGAACAAATCTAAACTTATTTTAAAATTTGATGCTATTTCCGATATTTTTAGCTTTCATTCAATAAAATTTAAAAACAAATGTAAAAATTAAAAAATTATGTCGTTTGACTTTGTTGCAGTTTTTTATCTTACCCTGTATAAACCAAAGGAAAATAAATTTTACGTTCCAAGGAACGCCGAAGATAAGAGATTATTTATTATTTTTGTAAAATATGCCACGCGTCATACGTGTACACTTTAGATATAAGAAAATTCTCATGTGAAAAATGATAAGGTTCGTTGGAAAAGTGTTGCCATATTCGATTTCTCAAATGAGGTACCTCTATTGTTTTGGCATGATACAATCATTACCGGAAATGGTTCCCAAGATGGTTGATAAACTTTTAAGTTGAATTATTGAAGCCTCGCCGATCATAATTTTTATAGCTTCCTTCTTTAAATCTTTTAAATCTGGCAAAGTTCCATCAGAGATCTTAAAACCTGCGGCTGGAATTTTGTTGAGAAAAATGAAATGAAAAATATTTTGTGTATAAAATTTCTTATTTAAAATTTGTCGCCTTTATTAAATTTTACATTACAGATTTTCATAGAACAAGAATTGAGCACCTGAGTTTTTGTTGTTGCAAAATAGACAAACTTAAAGCCGTTGTTTATTTTTATAAAAACAACAACATTTATTGCTCGTGATTCTAGCTTTAATCCCTGTAGAAAACTGTTGTTTTTGAAGCGGGACATCCCTTTCTGTCAAAATTACTCACAATTATATGCAACGTGTTGTTTTCATTTATTTGACATTTTTCCTTATTTTTAAAATGAGTTAAATAGGGCGAATGATGAACGAAATACCTGTATTTTCCTTCAAAATACCCTAAATTGACAGAAGTCAAGTACATTTATGTACACTCACTGAGATTGGATTTCAATATAATAAAGGGTTGTTATTACCGATTTGGCAAATAAGATTTTAATTAAATAATAAAAATATGAAATTTGAAGGTATATGGACCAAATCTATATAGTTTGTGGTGGCATTAAACACCTTTGGTATATATTAGGGGATGGACCAAATAACATTCCATTGAGAGTGAAGGGTAACTCAACCATAAAAAAGTAAAATCGATTGTTAGCTGTGCTCTTTCATTGTAATATGGTTTGGACAAATGCCATACGTTTTCGTGTATAGCGGCACTGCAATGTGTGTGATCCCCATTATCTTGCAAGTATTGTTATCGATAACTCGGTCGATTTGTAAACAAAACAATCAAAACAATAAAAAAGTGGAAGGATTGATTGTATTGTTTGGGACGATTTCAAGAATTTTCTTTGTGGGAATCCTGCCTGTACGGCCATGGACCAAACAGTGGATCTAGCTGCTAAGGTTGAGGAGTTAATAAAACTCACCAACTCACTAAAGCAGGAAATAAGCGTGCTCAAGGGCAATGATGTTAATGTAAAAGTTGATGAACTGGAAAAGGAGATGGCTGACTTGAAGAATGAAATAAATGAACTCAAGTGTGAGGAAACATAAACATGTATATAAATATAATATACAAATCTATTATTGTATTTCAGATGGCTTAATGAAGCAGAATGCCAAAATACTGGCCATAATACATGAATTGTCGGAAAGTAAAAAGATCCAGGTGATGGGAAATCTTGCAATTCTAAGGGACACCACAAAGACAAAATCCTGTGAAGAAGCAATACACAAAAAAGTTGTCAATTTTTCGAAAATGTTCCCACTCGGTACTTTGGATGATCTTGATAAGCTTGAAAAGTTGTTATCGATTGGAAAAAACAACGAAGATGAAGTTGTAAGTTTAGTACACCATTTGGATTCTATGGACTGTTTACTGATCTCGAGAATAATTTTTAATACAATTTCGCTCATTATGAACGATTTATAAGTATTCAACTTAAATAGTTTCATAATGTTAACGCAAGTAGTCGATATTCGTCAAGGAATTATGTCCACTTTTTAAAGGTCTTTTGTCAGCATAAGTGTATTTTATATCCAGTGACAAATGATATCTTTTAAGTGTTTTTGCAATCAAAATAACTATACATATTCAGTACTTGCAATAATCTACTTGAAAAAAGACCCCAATGCTGTTCAAATTTTTAATTTAATTCGAAATTTCGCGTTCTTAACGTTTTGACATAGTTCCCATATATAATTGTAAGTTTTCAGTGCGATAATGGTCACAAACCGTCATCACAGGTTCACGTTATGGTAGAACCCATTTTGCGATACTAAGATTTTGGAATTTATTAAATATAACCAATGAAGTTCATGAACGGTCCAGACTAAATGGGTTTTTTGTTTCTTTTTGTGTCCCAGGTACTTATACTCCAACGTTTATTATTACCCAAGGGCGTAGCCAAAAATCTGAAATTTGTATTATCTGATAATATAATAGTACAGTCCAATCTGGAGGGAATACACGGCAAAAAGCGTCTTCTTAATTATCAACGGTTTATAGATGCAGTGTATCGTAAGTATTTGTCATCAATGATAATTGAACAATACCAAAACTGAATGAATGAATCATTTTCATGTACTAATTTTCTTATACTTTTTGCAGAGGCCGTTTATAAGAATGGTTACAGTATAAACACATTTTTGTCGGATTTTCGCCGTGGTTTGAGATGTGTTAAAAATCGTAATTCTAAAATAAGGTGTAGACGTGTGAAAAAACGATCCAGTAAATATGATGAAGATTCAAACAATGCTGATGATGATTATGGCGATGAAGACGTGGATGAATTTATGGATGATGAAGAACAATCCAACTCACAACTGGAATCAATAATTAAAACAGAAGATAATTCCGTTTTTGGTGATTAATAAAGCTTGTAAATCACAGAAAAAGATTATGTAAACTTATTTTTATATTGCAAAGTTGTTTTTGATGATGTTAGTTTGTACTAACAGATGTTTATTTTTTCCATTTCTCAGGATATTTGACAAAAGAAATAAAAAATCTTACTCCTATTTATACACCTAAAAACTGTGAATGGAAACTAAATGAAATAGTCCAAAATAAGCTAACTTAAAATTAATCGAATTTAGTAAGCTATTCAAAATCAACATCTTCTTCAGTTTTTACAATGTCCATGTTTAATTCTGTTACAATAAATCTTTCACTCATTTTTTGTCGAGCTACACAGTTATTTTTGTGCAAACGATTTTTGCTATTTCTAAGTGCACGCCTCAAGTCGTTTAGGAAATCTTTCTTAGTATAGCCATCCGTATAGCAGGCACCTGGAAATTAAGAAAACAAAGAGATACACAACGTAAAAAGCCAACTGTTGAAAATTCTGTCTTACTGTACAAGACTTCTATAAATTTCTTATAATCCAGTAGCCTCTTTTTATTGTGATGGCCATCAACATTGACATCCATTATAATTTTGTCCGAAATAACATGCACAATATTTTTTACAAGTCCATGGGGTGCTACTAGATGTTGTACAATATTAATCTGCAGAGAAAGACAGACAGTTTAATATATTAGTCATAGAGTAACTCAATCCAATTATATATGTTTTATTGTGAGAACTAGCTACGTTAAGAAAATTCGTTCTGTTGCAAAAAAAAAAAAACGGAAAGCGAATACTTTCGAATTTTGGCAAATTGATTTCAGGTGCTATTCTGGGATTATGTGAAATTTTTATCACAGGTGCGTAATATTACCCCGATTTTGAAAAAATATTTTTCGTTCATGAAAACCCAGTTTTGCCGGCTATTGTATTCTAAAGTTCGGATGCAAATACAGGATTACATTTGTCTTTGGTATATACAATGTGGAAAGCTTATGGAAATACTTATGCAACAAGTGCCATATAATGGTGCTCGGTAAAACCGGATAAAATTAGGATTTGTATCCAAACTTTAGAGTCGAATAAAAGGTCAACCGGACAACCCTCAAAATACTTTGCCTAAATCAAAATGTTCAGGCCCATTACGAGCCCAGCACCTAAACTTAGGCCCACGCAAAATTTCTCACAAGTGAACATTTTAAACTGGTCGGGCTACTGGTCCTTACATTTTGTTGCATATTGTTATCATTTAGTTCTGCTTCATATTCGCCTAGGTCTTCAATATCTTGTAATGGGAAACGACGCAAAATTTGCGTAATATTTTTCCCATACATTACTTCGCTTGCATTTGGTTCGACTGGCGGAGGTGCCACACTTGCTTGCTCCAGCAATAGATTCTGTTTGGTAAGCAGGTTAATAATCAGTTCATTTTGTTCTTGTAATGTTTCTGTTCCATTCATTCACCCAAACATAAAGAAGAAAACCAGACAAATGTAAATGTATGTGAATTAGTCAGGGTCATTTTAGATAATAACAAAAACAATTATTGTAAGTGCTTACCTTTTAGTTCCTTGACTTCTTTCCGTAAACCGGCTGCTTCATCACTTAGTTTATCAATGCGTTCACTAACATTTGTCATGTTTGTTTTGTTTTTTAATTCCTTCTTGCAGTCTTTGTATAGTTTTTATTATTTGGCATCAGTTTTGCATGACGAGATATCGAAGCAGATGTAGAAGTGGTGGATAAATAAGTCATTTGGTAATAAGTGTAGTTGTCTACTCTAGCACGTATGAGTTATCGAAATGTTAAGGAGTGTTCACACGATCTATTATTTTTCATTTGATATAGCCTTCTGGTTAGATATTAAACTATAAGTAATTTTGTGTATTCTTTTCAACAATGAGCTATTTTATTTATTTAGTTGACAGCTAAAAATTATCTATCCGTGGAACACCATTGCCCATGGAATTGCTGGTACAAAATATATTTGTTACAGAAGGTATTTTATGCCCTCCACCTTGGAAAGCAGGGTATATTAAATTTGTCATTCCGTTTGTAACATCCTTAAATATATGTCGTAGACCCCATTAGGTATATATATTCATAATCAGCTTGAAATTCTAAGTCGATTTAACTATGTCCGGTGGTACAATGAAATAAAGGTAACCTCATTTCAAATTAGCATTCTAAGCTCTGCAATTTCTGTAATTTACTTTGTCAAACTTCAGCCTTAAATGCAGCGCATTGTGTGCATACAATGGATTTATGAATATAGATTTTGGCAATGGGATGTTGTCAAATGTATAAATTTTGAAAAAAAATATGATTATATGACTACCTTCTTAGTTCTACCATGCTTTGTCTGTATGTCTATCTCTCCGTCTGTCTGTTGAAATCACTATACAGCCCACGTAATTTGATGTAGAGCTTCAAAATTTGGCAGAACAATTTTTATTATAGGATGGTTGGTATTGAAAATGATTGGTATTTGTAGGTCTTAATAGGTTCCTGCTCGTGTGGCGAAACATTGTATGTATAGGTCCAGTTTTTATATAGCCCCCAAATAACAATACCTCTCGATATTCGGCATTTTGATGATTTTTGCCACATTTTTTTCACGGATTTGTCTAAAAATTGGTTTAGGGTTCTACCTTCGGTGGCGAAACATTGTATGTATAGGTTCATGTTTTGGTATGGCCCCCATATAACGGCCTCACTTACTTATTTTTTTTTTTTTTTTTTTTTTTTTTGAAAAGTTTAACATCATTATCCAAATAGTCTTACTGTTATTTTTAGTTAATTGAGTGGAGCACGTTTGAATTTAGATACTTTTATAAAAAACGTTTTCTTTACCCAATGGTGGAGGGTATTAAAAGTTTGTATTGAAACGGTTTATGATTTTTATTATTAATTTTTTTGTAATGAAAATGTAAAAAAACAAATAATAAACTGAATCAAAACGTTTCTTTTGTTAAGATTTGCGCCAAAGTTGTATTGCTGGATCAGCTGTTATCTTACAAATGTTTGCAAGATGCTGTTCGTTTACGTTTTGCAATTTTTACTCTCGAGGAAGAAGAAATCGTATTTTTTCTCAGTAACTTATCGCTGAGTAAATGTTACTGGGAAAATAAAATAAAATCTGTTGCAAACAGAGGTCGGTTGGCAGTTTTTGCGCTATCAGTAGTGGAATTCTCTGACTCATTTTTTGAGTTGAGGATAAAAACTGGTAATTTACGAAATTTGTTGGTAAGTTAACGACGAAACTAAAGTAGTCGCTAAGACCTAACGATAGATACCAATGTTGTCAACCGTAGATTCTATTTTATATCAATGATCGAGTTTTGTCGGTAACTCAAAAAAAGAGAATCGCAATTTGCATGGTCGATCCACTCGACTTCGAAAAAAATTCAAATTTTCAATAATTACAATTGTTCAATTGATGCCATCATGTAGGGGTTAGTTTTTCTATTTCACTGCAACATTTTCAGTTCATAAACTTCTTACAGTTGTTAATCACCCTTATTATGGTTGGCGTTGTCGTAGGCGTTCAAGTGTCGTAGACGTAGTCGTAGGCGTTGTCGTAACTAGAAATTTTTGGTATTATGTACAATTTTCGACTACGTCTTTTTTGTAATAGATATGAAAAAGCAGGGTGCTCTGGAATAATACATATTTTTTGAATTTACGGGCTACCTGGTTAAAAGAAATAAAAGCGTCAGTTGAAATGGTTGAAGTAAAACGATTATTTGTTAATTAAATATTGAAATATGTTAAGTTCTGGCAATTTTTTAACTGAGGATGAAGATGAGTATATTCAAAATGGAGGCGAAAAATAATGCGGGTTATTTGTGCTTACAGAGGGAAGCATACAGACATTCTGGATGACCACATCCACATGCTTCTGTTGCGTATTTCGGTGTAGTCTGTTTACCCTTAGAAAAGTCAGTGTGCAGGGATTGTGGTATTCTTTGTCTTCACTAATTTCAAACCCTCCAAACAGTTCCTCCTCAGTCTCCAAATCACCAGGTGTTGGACGCTGTTGAATTCCAATTGTTTTTCCCTGCATTTACAATTGTCTCTAATTGTAACAAGTGTGATGCTGCTTCCTCCGTGTCGCTTAAAATGAACTGCTTGAAGGGGCTTCCATCTGTAGCACGACATTCTGCCTTGGTATGAATTAGCTTTTTCCTCAATTTGAATTTGTTGTCGGTCCAGACTTTTATCCAACCGGCGGTCCTAGGATATTGAGTTTTGCACCATTCTTCCTTGATGTTAATTTTTTTCAAGCCATTGCTGTAACCTCTAGACAAATTTCGATTAATTTGCAAGATCTGGATCATTTTTGGTCTGTTCCAGAACTGCTAGAATGTAAAACTTTTTCCTACGATAACCGATTTTCACTTTATGATATCGAAAAAAATTGCAAAGATAGTATATTCTTGCAGGTTCTGGAACACAGCATTTGTCAAATTGTTTCTTTGTTCTGACTATAAATCTAGAAAAAGATTATTAAAATCCATTTTGTATATTATTTATTCTTTTGTAATGTCAATTTGGATAAACTTTTGTGTGGTGTTGGCAACAAAATCTCTAACGACTAATTTTGCAGTGTTTGTCGAATTAGAACGCGTCTTGTGGTACGAAAATTGTAACAGAATTTCATACAGAGTTGTAATTTCTCGCATACGACACACATAATACCAATTAGTCGTTACGACGCGTCAACTTGCAATTTTCGATACGACTACGCCAGCCGTAATAAGGGTGAATATTTTTAACATTTTAGGTTTGGGTGACTTTAGTATTTTTTTTACTCATATCCCTGAAACGACATATGTGGCATCTGTAGATTCGAATTTAAGCGATGAGTGCTCTCCGATGATAAGCGATGAGTGCTCTCCGTTGTCTATATTCAAGCGTATATCCTTTCCAATAACATTAAAACTCTTAAAAAATATTAATTTGCTTTATGAATTGTTGTTTATTACATCTAATTAATGGAAATCCGCTTTGTAATTTCTCTTCTGATCAATTTAGATTTTCTTCAAAATTATATAGACCATACCTAAAACCAGATGACTTGAACAAAAACGAAAGGTCATGCATTTTTGTATTAAAACTCATTTTTCAAATGAAAGCCTTGTAGCAAATTGCGAACATTAGTAGGACCCATATAACGAAATCATCCGATAACATGTATTAATAAAGGTTTAATTTTTCCATCGGATCAACTATATGTTGTCATTCTCGTATAATCTCTATCAAAACTGTTCGAATGTATCTTACAAAATTTGACTAACATGATAATCCAATTCAAAAATAAAAAGAAAACGTGTTCATTGTTGATGTACAAATATTACTTAGATTTAATATTTACAATTTCTCTCAATTTCAAATGAGTATCCTCTTATACGATTTCAGTTCCTATGTTAGAATAGACTGACAAATAATAAGCATTAATACTATATTAACTTAATAGCAATACTTAATACTACTATTAACTAAATAGTAATTAAAAATGATCTTATTCCTAGCTAGTGCTTAAACTTTTATTAATTTCATTTATACATAGAAATACAAAGGTTACTTTTCTCTATTCAAACTTAACACCCCCCTCGGTTTTCACAATGTCCAAATTTATTTCTGCTACAGTTTCACATCCACGCAGCTTCTGTCGGGCAACGCAATTGTTTTTGTGACAACGATTTTTCGCAATTCTTAACGCTCGCCTAAGGTCGTTTAAGAAGTCTTTTTGCGTATAGTGTTCGTTACAGCAGGCACCTGCAAAATTGGAAACACGTAGATATGCAAATGCTGTTTATTACAATGTATAATTTGTGATTTACCGTACAAAACTTCTATAAATCGTTTATAATCCAGCAGCCTTTTCTTATTATGATGACCATCAACATTGACTTCCATAATAATTTTATCCGAAATAACATGCCCTATATTTTTTACAAGCCCATGGGGTGCAACTAGATGTTGTACGATATTTATCTGCAGAAAAAGACAGGTATATATAGAAGTAAAGAATTTTTAAATTCCTTTTGCAAAGAAACAGAAAGAATTTCGATTTTAAAATTAAAGAATACTATTTTTATATCAAAACATCAAATGCGGGTTTCCTTCATTTTTAAGTAAGCAAAATTCCTTAAAAGTGAAATTTGAAATTAGACGGATAGAGTCATGCAGCTTTCTTACATTTTGTTGCTTATTATCATCATTTAGTCTCGATTCATATTGCTTCAAACTTTCCATATCTTTTAAGGGGAAACGGCGAATAATTTCCGTAATATTTGTCCCATAAACCACTTCGGATACATTTGGTTCAGCTACCGCTGATATCAAACTAGCTTGCTCCAGCAATTGACTCTGCCTAGTGAGCAGACTGATAATCAGTTCATTTTGTTGTTCCAGCGATGCTGTATTAGTTATTCATCAATGGAATGGAAAGAAATAATGTGTTAATCATATCCATTGGAAACAATGCCAAGTGCTTACCTCTTAGATCTTTGACTTCCTTTCGCAGGTCATTTGCTTCTGTTTTTAATGTGTCAATACGCATACTAACATTATCCATGTTCGGGTTTTGGTGCTTTTTTGAAAATAATTCTTATAAACCTTTTCTAATTAAGTTTTTATTCTTTGGCATCAGATGTAGAAGTGGTGGATGAATAAGTTATTTGGTAATAAGTGTATGTGTCATCTCTAGCGTGCGAGTTATCGAAATGTTAAAGAGGGTTCATACTCTACAAAATGTGTCGTAGCCTGACCACAAATTAAATTAGATCATCAAATTGGTGCTTGTTCTTTCAAATAAAAACAAATCCAAAAGCTAATTGGTAATATCGAATAATCCGACAAAATGTATCGTTCCAGTAGATCTTAGGAGTTTTTTTTTTGCTTGCGGAGGTTTTTTATAGCACATCATCATTATTTATTGCTTATTCCGGATATATTTTAAACCAGCGCGGATTCTGCAAACTAATGGAAATCACCACTGGGCTTTTAGATTGGTATTGCGGTACACGACAAAGTCGCAAACCCCTTGTTCACATTTGGCATTCGAAGATTAAAACAATTTATCTCTTTCAGAACTGCAAGAATGTGAACAGTTTTACTACGATAGTCCATTTTCCCTTTAAGAAATCGAAAAAAATTACAATACCAGTAGATTCTTGAAGGCTCTGAATAAAAATTTAAAATTATAGTTTTTCATGACAACACATTGGATTTCTGATTTCTTAATAGCAATTTTATATATTTTTATGTGAACCGAAAGGTCTGAGAATTCATACAAAAAAAAATTGAATTTTTGGTCTGTTCCAGACTGCAAGAATGTTAAACTTTTTATTTCGATAACAGATTTGTTCTTTATGATATCATACAAAATTGCAAAAGTAGTAGATTTTCGCAGCTTCTGGAACAGAGCAATTCAAAATAATTTTGAAAATTTTCAAATTCTGTTAAGATTCAAATTTATAGCATTAGGGTAGATTTTTTTTATTTTAGTGTGTTTGGGGTGGAGAAGAAACTTAGAAACTTAAGAAAATTGTGCAAAAATACGTGATGTTCCAGTAGTGGTTTAACGAGAAAATTTGTTCAATTTCCAAGAAACTAGGAAAAATACAGCTATGTACTAGAATCTTATTGTGTCATATAGACTTACCAACATACCAAAATGGCTTGAGAATAATATTACAATAAGCTTATGAACATAAGCCTTAAGCTTGAGAAAATCTTGAGAAAACATTGAAAAATGTTTGTGTAACAAGTATAGAATAATCGAAACGGAACCCTTATTTATAAGCTTATACTTGAAATTGTAGAATAAGCTTACAAAAATAATATTAAAATAAGCTTATTTTTGTAATAGTATATAATATTATTTTTTTTAATTTTTAATCATTTTTCACATTTTTTTCTTGATGGACATCCCAGTAGTCACTCCTTAATGTGGCCTTGATACTCTGACGCTTTCTTCTCCCTTATTTGAACTTCTGCATCTCTTCCACTAAGACTACACACATATTGAATTCCTTCAACTTTTTTGATGCTTCCAATCTGAAATGGGATTGGAATAATTTATGTGAAAGATTTCCGGATTTATTATTCATCCATACCTTAAGGGTTCGGTCCAGAAATGGGTCCTAAATTCGCATGATTTTGTTTTTTGCCAAAGAAAATAATTTCTTGCTGACAATTTTCACAAAAAATCAAAACTAATTTGTCAACAAGGGACAGATTTGAGAAATGTTTGTGGAACATAAGTGTTTCTCAAGCATTGTTGAAAAATTATATTTTTATAATATTGTTCTCAAGCTGTATTGTATTTTTGGTATGTTGGGTTACCATTTGGTAATTTAGAAAAAAGTTTGTTTACATACAAATTATCAACAATGTAATGGACCAAAAGAACCATGGTAGAAGAATATAGGTAGACGCATCGACACAGCTGCTGGGACAATGAACCGTCAAACTAATTTTGTAATTGAAAATTTTCAATGAAAAATTAATAAAATAGGCAAAATTTGTTAAAAAACATACATACTATAACAACCTCCGATTGGCGTCGTATAAGAAAACATATAAAAATCTACTACTTATTTTTGACAAAACATTTTAAAAACATATCAATCTATCTTCCACCATAAAAAGAACAAGCATTGGTTAATTATCGATGGTTTAAAAATATATAACATGTGAACCACCCTACACAGAAGAACATTGCGAATTCTTGCCGCCGCAAAAAAAATCGTTCCGCTTTGTCGTTTGTCTTGGCGGTTTATAAAGGTAAACAAAACTACTCATAGGCATACCTTTGGAAGGACGGTTAATATCCAAATCCAAATAAATAGAAATGTCCGCCCACAAGTATGAGAATCTCTCACAGAAATTCCTGGTAAAATCGTTCGATTACCAAAGGCAATTCTTCCATTTGTATTCGCATCGATTGACAGAAATGTCTGCGTTGCTAGCCAAACGGGCTGAGGAACATTGGGGTAAGTCTGTGCCCATCAAGAAACTCTGTGATCTACGCGAAGAAGATGAAGAAGAATGCATTATTATTGGTACAATTTACAAACATCAGGAACATAAGCCAAGTATATTGAAGGAAATATCGGAGGAGAATCAATTAGCACCACAACCGGCTAGACAACATTATTCCGATCCTGAAGATAAAGTAATATTGGAAGATGAGTTGCAACGTGTACGTCTACATGGTAAGGTACGGTGTGAAGAAATGGCCACTGGCGTTGTTTGTGCCGTTATGGGCTTAATTGAAGAAGACGGTCGTTTCGATGTCCAGGACATTCTATTTTATGAAGGAGGTATCCAAAGACCATTGCCAAAGAAGGGGAAAAACCGTCTGCTTGTTTTATTATCCGGTTTAGATCAAGTTAATTCCCATAATTTTGTTGATTCATTGAATCTTTTTCAATATTGGCTACGCGGTAGTTTACTCAAGGCTGGAGAACCGAGAAAGATGCGTGTTATAATTGCTGGAAATTCAGTAAAAAGTAGCGAAGAAAAACGCTTGCCTTCCTTACAGTCTCGACCCAATGAATCCAAAGATGTTGTCGATGCCATGCATGCATTAGACGAATGGTTTGCAGCTTGGTCTAGTTCCATAAATCTTGATGTTATGCCTGGCGCCTATGATCCAGCAAATTTTATGATGCCACAACAACCATTCCACAGCTGCATGTTTCCCAAGGCTGCCAAGCATGAAAACTTTCAAAGTGTTTCAAATCCTTATGTTTGTTCAGTGGACGATGCCCTTGTTATGGGTACTGCTGGCCAGAATGTTAATGACATGTTAAGGAATACTGGTCTCGAGAAACCATTGGAAGCCTTACGTTGCACACTTAAATGGGGTCACTTAGCTCCCACGGCTCCCGACACATTGGCATGTTATCCATATTTGGATTGTGATCCTTTTGTTATTAGAGACTGTCCACATGTCTATTTTGTCGGTAATTGTGACGAGTTTTCGACTCAGCTCCATGAAGGTTCACAAGGCCAGAAAACCCGATTGGTGTGTGTGCCAAGATTTGCCGAAACCCAAAGTATTGTTGTGGTGAATTTGGAAAATCTAGATTGCCATGAAGTTTGTTTTGATTGTAATGGCGAGTAAAATATGAGAAAATAAATAAAAAAATATTGTTTTACTTAAATGTAATGTATTGTTTTATTTCATTCATTTTGTTTTTTTACAGACTAGTAGGCAACGACATTTTACAATTTTCACACCATCTCAATGAACAACTGGGCCCAATGGTTCACCACGTATATTGGCAAAATCCAGGCGGGAATCAATCGTTTCATCTATTTGTCCTATTACAGCGATGTTGTCACCTCGAATAATATGTAGACCCAAAACGATTTGCTCAATGCCGGATGTTGTGGAGAATACCCGCTCATGTGATTCATCCAATATGATATTTATAGTTTGATCGAATCCTTTCAATGTTCCAATGAAGTTACGTCCATCTGCAGTTATAATGGACACGGTATGATTTATGTACTGTTCCAATGTGGATGCCATTTTTCGAGGGAAAGAAAAACAAACGTTTAGTACGTTTTGATAAAAAGTTGGAAGAATGTAAACAACATATTCTTCTTCTTTCTTAATTTTATTGTGGAATGATGACACTCACTGGGAATTGATTGTCTTTATCGATATCGATTAATTTCAACTACTACTACATTGCAAATGATCTGTTTCAGAACCTGGAAGAATCTACTAGTCTTGCAATTTTTATGATATCGTAAAGGAAAAATCCTTCCTCGTAGTAAAATTATAAACAAATTCTTACTGGAAGTCGCCTGTTAACACAAATGTTCTGCAAAAGAGAATTATCCGAGAGGGAAATGTTGATATTTTTTTCATTGAGAGTTTGCAAATTCCATGGTAGAATGAAGAAGGTACCTGCAAGAATCCATGGTATAATAAGGAGGTAGAACAGCTTTGTAAAACTACAGAAATACAGCCCTGAGGCTATGCCCGCTTCCTGTCAGACTCATTCAAAATTATATATATTTTTAATTTTTAAAATAATAATTACATACATAGGGTTGCCATATTTTGACTCTGTCTTGTCCTATCTTTATATTTCTATGTTTTTGTTGATCTTTTGGGTTATAGAACAACATTTTGTAAAAATTTGTACAAACTATCAATTGACCTACTGTAAGCAGATTAATCGATCTCATGCCCGAAGATTAGCATGCTTCCTAAAAGAGATTGTAATAAGAGCCAATAAAAAATGATTTAAACAAATGACTCATAATATTTTTATTTATATAATTGCAAATATTTTGTATGTATGTATGTAAACATAGGAAATACACATACATTTTTCAAACACTTATTAATTTCCATACTTTGCCAATTTAAGCCTTGATAGGTGGTACCAGACCAGGTCTCCTTGGTGTTGGATCAGCAAAATAAGGCCGTCCAGCAGGTGGTAATATTGGCAGAGGCCCTATGGGTTGCATTGCTGATGCCGGGTTTTTGTGTTCCTTTCCTCTTTTAGGTGCATATCTTCTGGCCGATGCTATGTTGAAAACAGCAAACATTGCAATAAAGATGGCAACAAAGGAAATGATTTTCATTTTGATCTAAACGATATTGCTCTGCGTAACCAACACGAATCGAATTGTTCTGATGAACTGTAAGTCGCACGTTGTGTTCTTTTATAGGTATTTGAAAGAGTTTTGTTTTTCATATATATTTTGTTTAAATGATGTGGTTTTATAATGATGTGGTCAATCTAGAAACTATTCTGTTGGTTTTGTAAGAAAAATTAAATAAGTTCGGAATTTCCAATCCATTTAAAGAAATTCTTCTCGGAAATAGTTAAATGGCACGATAAACGCTGTTATGATTTATAAAATAAGTTATGGCCAGATTTTTATAGCTCGTTTACAATATTTAAGATTTAACCTCTATGTTTAATAGATCTATTTTGTTAACGTTGCGTGTTTAGATACAACCGACACAGCTGCTGAAACAATGACGGTATCCGTTACATTTACTTTTCACAGTTTCCTTGCAAAAGATAATAAAATTACTTTACTACCTCAGAAAGAAGCTACTGAACAATTTCTCCAAGTAAACAGATCATATCAGGGCACAATTAATTCAAGGTAACCTCGTTTCAAATAAAAACATCCAGCTCTGTATTTTCTTGTCAAATTTTACCTCATTCAAAACAGTTCCCCATCTCTGATTGTGATGTATTAATTCACTGTATAACGAATATACATTTGCAAATGAGATGTTTAAAAAAATGTAAATATATGATTACATAAGGTTACTTTCTTAATTCTGCCTTGGATTTTATAGAAGAGAAATCCAATACACATTTTTTAAACATTTTTCATTTAAAATTCTGGTTGTATAATAACAATTATAGAAGAGAAATCCAATACTCATTTTTAACCATTTTTCTTTTAAAAATTCTGGTTGTATTATAACAAATGTTTATTAATAATCCATGATTGTTATAACAATTTGCCATAAATTACATTTTTTCAAATAAATCCTAAAAAAGTAGGTGAAAACTACTTTCATATATAATAATTCCAGTGGATTGCAACTTTCGATTCAAGTGCTTTTACGTAAAATCGTATGTAAATTTAGCGAATTATGTTTGACACAATACACAATGGAATTGACAGTCGATATCTTTAATAATTTTCATCAATTATCCTCGATTCTAATTAATAAATCACATATATTTCATTAATTCATCATTGGGAAGTTTGTGCCATAATCGCTAATTATGTTCTATAAAATCAATACACACTCACATTTGATATTTTATCAACCGTGTTGAGTCTTAATTTGTCTCCCTCTTTAAATTAAAACACAACACTGTGCTTTAACATCTGCAAACAGTTACCGTTATCAATCATTGTTATACAGTGATGGCGACTGACAGTTGGCAGACATGCGCTCTGCTAACCGTTACCAAAATTTCTTACCTTTCAATTACGTTCATTCACTCATTCTCATTAAAACGAATCGAACGAGAACATCTGGTGGTCTTTTCGAAAACTAGAAATAGATAAACGAAAAAAAATTGTAGACATTTTAAGAATGAAATTGCAGTGAGGAAAGGATACAATTCCAAGAAAGTAAAGAGAATATAAGAATCAAAGAGAACTCACCGCTGTTTACAACTCTCCATGTCCACAGTCATCTATGTATATGTGTGACAGGGCAAAAAACGTTAGTATACAACATTTTGACGTGAGTGGAAAACAGGAACAAAAGTAAGAAGAAGCAGAAACAGAATATGCAAAGCAAACATGTAGACAATTGAGAAAATTTTTTCACATTGACAAAAACACGACAACCGCAGACGTTGGAGAACAATAAGAAGTGCTATACAAAAAAAAAGTGGAAAACCCAAACGTATTGGCATTATTTTTTTACGAAAAAATATCCTGTGAATTTGGGATTTAATAAAATAACGGAATTTGTTAGAATATTAAAATAAAATAACGAAAGTGTTGTAAAAGAAAAACTAACTAAAGTTTCAAACCAACTACCAACTCCCTAACATATGCTTTAAATTTGTGAAATTCATTCAATCACTGTTTCCTCAGCTAAGAAATCTAAACGCACAGCTTTTTCAATAACTTAAAAATTACAAAATTAAAATTCAAATCCTTTGGAAAAAATCATCATTGTCCCATTAACCAGTAAGGAACCGACAACAACAAAAAATAATATATCAACGAAGTAAAACGAGACGACAATTATTATCGATTTATGTATCTGTTTATGGTTGTGGCGGAGAAGTCCAACAGGAATACCAGCAGTTAAACACAACAACAAGAAAAACAAGTAATTCTGCTACATCTCAACGTCATACAAACGCCAACAAAATTTTATTGTTAGGACGCAGTCATACTTAGTTAGCAGTCGTAGTAGTCTGCCGCGCCAATAGCCAACAGTCAGTCAGCCATAGCCAGCCGTGTGTAATAAACGAACAAAGTGTATATCACACTGTTGTAGACATCAGCAAACCAGAGTCAGATATACAGACATTCTCTCAACAAGAACACACACACATATACATACCCACAGACACAAGCACACACACACATACGCAAAATAACTCGGGCTAAAATCAGCAGCCAAGTCAAGTCACACAGCCAAAGAAAACATCATCTTTAACACCAAGAACAGCAGCAGTAAAAATCTACATTTCGCCTTGGTCTTGGTCGTTAAGGTTGTAACAGGAAATTGTCCTGGCCAAAGTTGACTACAAGGATTTTTATTTGTTGAAATTAAAGAAAGAAAGAAACAACAGTGTCTTTTCATAAAAACAAAAAAAATTGCTGAATACTTTTTTATGTGTGTATTTTTTTCACTCGCTCTCTCCCCTCCTTTATAACACGGTTTTGTGCCCAACAGCAGAACAAGAAAAAAGAACAACAACAAAAAAAGAGAAATATACATAGTTATATGTATAAATAAAAAATAAAATAACAGAGAACTGATAACCCCAATCAGGCAGTTGTTTTTCTCGCTGCCTCCTCTGTATGCCCCCAGTGTGTGAGTGTGTGTGTGTGACACAGAAACCCATTCTTTTTCTGGTTCATCTTAATTACAAACTGTTCCAATTTTTCTCAAAAATTGCGTATAATAAAGAAATTATTTGAAATTTTCAACCTAGCTGAATTTTCTGCGTGAGAGAGAAAGGCAACAACAACAAGAAACCGACACCTAAAAGTGAATCTTGGAATTTTCGTTTTCTAAAGCAGACAGTAGCAGAGAAAGAAAACAACAAAACAAAGGTGAGTTTAAACAGTTTTGATGTATCCAAATATATATATTTTTTGGCTGGAGGTGGACAGGCATTTTCATAACTGTGGACATGTCTGCGTATAAGTAATATATTAACAAAACGCAGTGGTCAAAGTTTTATGAATTTAAAATATATTATACTCTAGACTTAAAAAAAAAACAATTTAAGATATTATTAAGAAAATTATAAACATTAAATATAAATATTTTTTGTTGTATTTGCGGTTTGAGGTTTTTTCTTTACTTGAAATCCATACAGATTATCTGTTAGAAGAAAATTCGGCTAAGAGAAGGATATTGTGCGAGCAACAAGTAAAAATTGATGATGAAAACTGAGGCTAGAAAGACAGACAATTTTTCTGAAATCGAAGTCGAGACAATCAACTCGACTTCAGGAACAAATATTTATTAGTTTCTCCGAAACATTTCAAGCTCTTGAAAATTATCGGTGAATCCTACATTGGAATTGGGGCACTATTGAAAAACAAATGTAGGAAGAGATTTTTATTTCGATAAGCAAATTTTGGTCTTATGCCTTAATCCAGAGAAGGCATACGACCAAATTGCCTCTTGGAAATCTCTCAGGACATTTGGATAAAAAAAACAATATTCCTGCCAAAAACTCAATACCTAATGTTATAATATGAAATATATTCCGCTTTTTCTGATATATCGCATTTAAAAGCTCAAAAGCATAACATATTTCATTTTAAGCGAAGAATGGGGCCGATGTATTCAAAATTTATAATTTGATCAGGTGTATATATAAATAAATAATGTCGGCCCACTGTTTGTGGATCTTTCCCTACAAAGCATCATCATTTTGAAAAGTCATAGTCTATATAAAATATTATATTGAACCTCAGTTTGTTTTTTTTTTCCAAATGTGATTGATAACATTTTACTCAGATGTGATTTATGTCTGCAGGACTTTTGGTACTGAAAATTTGATATAAAGGTCTACGTTTTGGTATAGGCGCTATATAACTGTAGCGACAGATTTCAGGTCTTTTTGGGTGATCGAGTCACAATTTCGAACCGAATAGAACTTTCAATATAGGTATAGGTTTTGGTATATTCCTGGCATTTTTCAACGGATTTTTTTTTTGCATTTTTCAAGTTCTTTTCCAAATTGTGGAGGGTATTAAACGTTCGCCCTGGCCTAACCTACTTGTTTATTCGTTATAGCCTCTATTACAGTATGGAGGGTATATTAAGTTTGTCTTTCCTTTTAAAACACCTTAAAATATACACTTTAGACCACACAAAGTACAGGGTGAGATAAAAAACTGCAACAAAGTCAAACGCAATAATTTTTACATTTTTTTATTTTTATTGAATGAATCCTAATAATGTCGAAAATTGCATCAAATTTTAGTGTAAGTTTTCATTTGTTCGTATTGGTTACCTTTGGCACAAATTATGGCCTTTAAACTGCCAATGAAATAGAAATATTTTCCATACTATGGAGGGTTACTCCTCAAAATACTCATGCCAGACCCAACAAGGTATATATATTCTTGATCAGCGTAAAATTCTAAGTCGATTTAGCGATGTCCGCCTATCTGTCCGTCTGTCTGTTGTAATTACGCTAGCTTTCGAACGAATTGAGATAGAAGGCTACAACTTTGCACACATCTTTATTTTGCCAGTAAGCAGGTTAAGTTCGTTAATGGGCCATGTAGGTCCACGTTTTCATATAGCCCCCATATAACGGAACCTTTCGATATTCGGTATTTTGATAATTTTAGCGACATTATTAACCGATATTGTTTCAAATTTGGTATTTAAAGTTCCAAATAGATACTACAGCCTAAGACAGAGATTTGTCTGTGCAGGTCCATGTCTTTGTATAGCCCCCATATAACGGTACCTCCTTATATTCGGTATTTTGATGATTTTGGCGACATTATTCACCGGAATTTGGTATTTGAAATTCGTAATGGATACTACAGTCTATGACAGAAAATTGTATGTGCAGGTCAACGTCTTCGTATAGCCCCCATATAACGGTACCTCCTAATATTCGGTATTTTGATGATTTTAGCGTCATTATTCGCCGGAGTAGTTTTAAATTACGTATTTAGAGTTCGTAATGGGAACTACAGTCTGCGACAGCAAATTGTCTATGAAGGTCCAGGTCATCGTATAGGCTCAATATATCAGTACCTCCCTATATTCGGTTTTTGACGATTTAAGGTACAATACTTACCTAAATTGTTTGAGGTGTCGCATTTGAAGTTCGTAATGGATGCTACAGCCTGTGATAGAGAATTGTCTATGCAGGTCTAGGTCTTCGTATAGCTCCGATATAACGGTACCTCCCTATATACGGTATTTTGATGATTTTAACTTCATTATTCACCGTTTATTTCACGCTTCGAATTTGAATATGGTAATGGCTTATGACAGATATGCTTATGTAGGTCCACGTCGTATAGACTCCAATTAACGGCTATATTCGGAATTTTTAAGATTTTAACAGAACTTTTAACGGATTTTATTTTTTGAAAATTTCCAAATTCGTTCCAAATGGTGGAGGGTATACAAAGTTCGGCCGAACTTACTGCTCTTTATCTTGTTGGAATTTCAATGGTTTTACCCCGAGCTCATTTTTCAATATTTGCCAAATGGGCATATTAGCTCACGAGTCATTTTTCGGCCACTGCGACGCGGCTTTCTGTCAAGTCGCTTTTTTTTCTTTTCGAGCCATTTCTGCTGATGTTGCTGTTTTCTTCTGTCCACTTCCTTGACGTCGGGCTACGCTGCCAGTATCACGGTAACGAGATATGGTACGAGACACAAAAGATTTATTCACATTTAAATGCTGGAGTGCTCTAACGATAGCCACTTGTCGTTTCCCAGCCAAATATAAAGAAATCACACTATCACGCTTGAATTCCATTACGAATTTCTTTTTTTCTGTAAACAATATAATGAGCTGTCACTGGAATAGTTTTAACAGCTGTCGGACGAGTGGCTTAGAAATGACAGCAGTCTGAAGTTGGTTGCCGATTTTTCATCTCACCTTTCATCTAAATTTTGACCCACTATCTCCAATTTCAATAGGGGTTGTCCTTGGGTCATGCAAACGACTTGTGCAAAATTTGATCGGGATCGAGCAATAAATGCGACCTGTACTTTATTTACAAAAATACATTGACAGACGGTCGGACATGCATAAATCGACTCAAAGTGTGATTCTATGCAGATCATCAAAAGGAACTCTGGGTCTATCTCGTTTCCTTTTGCCTGTTACAAACAAATGTACAAAGACATAATACCCTTACCTAGGGTGTTTAAAGTGGCACTTTGGCCTTTTGACTCCTTGCATTGAAAGGAAATTTAATCAACTCCCACCCTTGGAGATATTGTGAAAATCTAATTACCAGAATACCGCATCATAAAGATATAAATATTTCTGTTAATAAGTATCAAATAAACCTTATATATATTATATATATATATTTTTTTTTTTTTTCGATATAACTTTTATTACAAAATAATATTTATATTCATATCGAAATTCATTCATCATAATGTCAACTCGGGCGATGGAGAGGAAATATCAAATTTCCTCCTGTGTCATGACCTTGTTGTACAAATTGGCCAATGACCATAAAACGTATAATTAATAATAAATCTTGACAGGGTGTATAAGTGTATGAGTGAGTGTGTGTGTGCGTATAAAACACCCGCTGTGCCTTGTAAATTTGTGAAACAAAATACATGTGTATATATTTCACAAGTAAATGAATTAAAGGCAATGGAAATTAAATTATTAAATTATTTTGAATTGTTAAAAAAAATTGTATAATGTATGTGTATATTATGTATTCTTTGAGATATTTTGAGATATGCATATCCACTATGTGGGAAGATATTTTGTTTTGGAACTTACATATAAAACTTGTCCAGACAGTGGTTCTACATCCACCGTTTTGTATATAAATTTATATGTATATATTCATAAAGGTCATAGATGGAAGATATGCAAGATGTCCATCGGATTTAAACACAAGTTCGGAAGACTCTTAAATTGTTTCCTAAAGACGAGAGCATCCCATTTGTAATTCAAAAATTTTCGATTGTAATTCGAGAAATTTATTTGTAATTCATTAAAATTCGGATTATTTCATTTGAAATTCGAATTATTCAATTTGTAATTAAAATTCTTAAAAAATCGAATTAAATACAAATAGAATTCTTGAGTTACTCTCATTAGGAGGAATATTTGTATGGGCGCCATATCAAAGAGGGTATTAAGGTGGTTAAATACCCAATGAAAGCAGAAACATTAAAATACAATTGGTTGAGGTATACCCAAAAGATGGCCTAAATAGCAACATTTTAGCAAGGGGAAATACTGCCCAATGAAAACATTAAGTATCAAATGAAACCCGTTTTTTTTGGGAAATATGACCGAAACCCTAACGACGTCAAAAATCAGTGGGATTTCAAAAAAATTCTAAAAAGTTGGAGAGAACCCATCCAAAAAAGTGGATGAAAAATTTTAGCCGACACTCTAACCATTCCAAAATTTAAAATCCGAATCTGTTCAATTCATATGGCTACAGAGGGTATATATCATTTGATACGGCTAAAACGTGTCTCATCGAAATAGGGGGATCTCGAAGGCGGATCAAACTTGGTCCAGAATTAGTACATCGTAATACTATTACAACTTCTTCTTGTACCTCCCCCACAAAGGGGTTACAAGCATCTAATTCTTTTTAAACTTTACCAATTGCAATATTTCTACTAATACAAGAACTGGTGGGAAGATGGTAGATATCGGGCAGATATGGCCCAGAAAGGGCCACAATTTCCCATATTTATATCTCTAATAGCTTCCAAAACAAGTAAGCGAATCTTTTCTAACTTGGTATATGTAAATGTTTCTCTCCACAGGGGATCTGCTCTGAACATGGTATTTATCGGTCCACTCCTTCTCGTACTTCCCGCACACAAGGTTAAAGCTTAGATTAAT